ATTAATTTACAAGTTATAATCATATAGACCTAATATTTAATATCTATTATCTATCTTATATTTGGTTGGAATTAAGGTTAAATTAATTGTTTGTTTTGTTAAATAAATGCAGTCGATGATTATTCTCAATATAATATGGGTAAAGAGAATCAATAAGGGTAAGAAATTACATCTTTATTTTTGATCTATGACCATTGATTAAATTAAAAATGTTTTGTATGAATATGATAATAATAATTTATTTGGTGATTTTAGTTGTGGGTGTATTGTATAATATGAACCAACTGTTTTTCATAAACATTTTCTTTTCATTATTTAATAATTAATTAGAAAATCTTTGAATTTCTTAATGAATTCCAACATAATTAAATGCTCAGCTAAAATTACCCAAACTAATTTTTCATCCAGTACCATTTAGGAATTAATTAAACGGTTTTTCAGTAAGTACTTATTTGAATAAGTTTTTCAATTTCAATAATACATTTTTTAATACACGGCGATATGGATAGGCAAATTAACTACAATATGTCAATTTTATATATATGTCATAATGTTTCCGTTGTACCTTGTAACGTCTCACACGAAGGCTTACCCAGATTCGGTGTGGAGCGTACGGTGACGAGAAACTTTGATATTAAGGTCGCCAACCCACAGCCGAGATTCGAAAATCGGAGCGTGTGGGATTTTTAAATAATAATATTAAGAATTGAAAAGGTGATAATGATATAGAATTGATATGACTTAAAGGTAAATTTATTTTGTTCTGGTAAAGAAAGGTAATTAATTTACTGACCAAGAAAAGCCCATACCGGCATAAAAACTTGGCCGCAACAAAAAAGGTCAGCTTAACAAAAAAATCAAACACATAGTAATAATAATAATAATATTAATAATACACTGCATATACGCAAAATACTAGCACGGTACCTGGTTGGTTACCGGCGTAAATAAATAAGCATAATAATAATATAGTAGTTCACCATATTAGGTATACTATACGCAAAATAAAAATGAATTACCGGCCAAGGTGTAGTATACATAATAATAATAATAATAAATTTGCATTACCGAATAATAATGTGTGTCCGAGCATCGCCACCAAGACGCCCTCGGTGAGACGGTGTATCTACTCACTACTCACACATGTTGTCCGGCAGAGAGGCACAATGCAAAAAAAACATAATACGAGCGTCGGACGCGTCGCACATCATTCAAAGCAAAAAAAAAAACAACGATATTATACAATAGTTGGGTAATGCATTTTAATTGGCCAGTATTCGTGTTACAAGGGATTATGTAGATAATGTCATAGTGCCGGCCGGTTAACTCGACCACGGGTACTAGGCAGCGGTGATAGTATGTGTGTGTACGTCGACTATCATAATATGCATATCGCCGTTTTGTTTTGGGTTTGGGCAGAGATGCCCGCGGGACGGAGAGCGCTATAGTATATGTGACGTGTAATGCAAATTACGTATGTCCAAATTATTTATATCAACTACCAAATTACCACTGCACGTATATCCTTGGTATAATATATATATATATATATATACACATAATGTTTGTCGAATTTGTACTATCGAACCGTCGTCGCCGCAGCCGTTATCCATAAGGAAGCCCTATGCCGTGACGATAACCGCTGCCCACCTACCATACTGCACACCCAGCATTTTTTTTTCTTCTCTTCTTGCCCTCCGACCTGGACGGACGTCTCCGGCAACCAAAAGCCAGCGTCCGAGTTCTTTTCCATATATTGTGTAAGGTTTAAAAATGGAGTGAGATTCACGAAATCGTTTCCGCGGTGGATTACCGTCGGTGGTCGGATGATGAGTGGAATGTTTTTTTTTTGTTTAACTATGTTGGTGTGTGGATTTTTGGCTGGTATGTAATTATTTTTTTTGTGTTTTTTATGTATATATAAATATAATGGTATGTATACCGAGAAAAAATATGTAATGTATACCTCGGCGTCTACGAGCGACCGAGCCCCCTCGCGAGGTTTTTGTAGTATCATTTCATAATTTATTATTATAATCGGTGGCATAGTCATATGTATGACGATTGTCAAAATATATATTATTTTTTTTCTTCGTCCGAGTTTTATGCCGTTCGGCTTTCTCGGCGTCAAATAATTTCAACACACAAAAAAAAAATCAATAAAAACAATAGATTCCTTTTTTACATTTCGTGTTAATTTATTATATATATATACAAAATCCACGCGCGATGCTCCGGTCTTTTGGGCCTCGGTTCGTGGTTGGCGACCTTGTCAAACGGGCGACCACATGATGTTCGACGAGCAATTTGTCTAGGCAAATTGTCGAACGGTCACATATTATATTATTTAATTATAATAAAAATGATTGTTATTTTTCGACCGTCACAACCTACGATAAAAAAATATGATACATGTAACAACACATATTTAAACAATTTTTCTCTTCGTGTACAGTTGATTGATCGTGATTTTTATTTCATCAACCATTAGCAATTTAGCATATAAATTTGCATGAGGATTATTTATTTTCACAATTTTCACAACATCGACGTCACTGCAATCACATATATCAACTGATATAAATAATTTAAAGCATGCATTTAGCATGAGTTTGTACGACTATAGCCGAAATTCACACGATTGTTACTATCGTTAGTCCAATGACCAATATAATGTCTAATACATTGTCTAACGCCTTTACATTTAGAGTTAAACCTAAAAAAGGCCAACTATATATTATTATTATTTTTATTATTATTTTTTTTTATTAAGCCTCGGCAACTGTGGCCACTGGCAACACAAAGGGTTTAACTCTACATTTTTTACATGATATACCTATGTTATATATTAAATATTATTGATAAGGTTGGATTTAAAAATAAAAATAAAGGTTATAATGTGTTTTATGTTGTCCGGGTGGAGGGCTTCTGACAGAATGTTTGAGACGCCTGTTTCTCGTCTATCCAATGTATTATTGTAATTATTATTATTATTATTTAACCTTAGATCTAGTTGAACTACCTTATATAATATCATTTGCACGCATTCTTTAAATTGTAAAAATAAAATTGTATCCTGTAATTGTCAATAATATACTCAAAGAGTAAATCATATTCAATATTTAGGGCGATAGTTGAAGAAAAATTAAAACGGAACTATCATACTGATAAATAAGTTAATACCATCAGGAAATTATTAAGTACATAACTTTAAAAGCTTAAAATATATTTTCGATGTTAAACAACTGAGAATCAAACAAAGGTACGTCGTAAATTTGACATATAATAATATACATTTTAATAGTTTATAATATACGCGTACATATTATACTAAGCTATACGTCATATACAATATACCACATAGTATAGTATATATAATAGTCTACTATGGATTGCCTTTTTTGGATGGTAATTACAACGATTATTTGATTAACTTATGTACAAATATAAATGGTTTAATAAAAATCATTATCTCAAAACCATTTTTACATTCAACAAAACAGTTATAAATGTACTTTGATGTCCAACGCATATCCATTTTAATATATTATAACTCTCTAGCTTTTATTTGTACATAAATACAGGCATTCTTTGAATACTATAGACCAGAATTATAATACTTCTAGAAATAAATTTCATTCTAATGTTAATTCTATTAAACTGTATAAGATTGTAACCTCTGGGAGTCTTATTTATAAATGTACATTGTTGTGTTGTAAATTAAATTATTTTTAATTTTAATAATATTATCTCTTTAAAATCATATATTAAACATACTTGGTATGGTAACGTGACACCTAGTTACGATTTTGAAATGTTTCTTTTTCTTCATTTTTGAATTCAATTAATATTTGTATGTTGGTAATGAGATTTAATACGTAGTTTATGTTTAACTTTATAATATTATAGGAAACTCTCACTTCTTAGCACAAGCTTTTAGCTTTTTAGAAGTGAGTCAATATATGAATTAATGTTAACAGTTATTATACCATACTATATAACTTTTTACAGTTTTAGATACAAAATGTTGTTACATTACTTTCTATTCTCGTTTATTTATTTTCTTCTTTGTTGAACTGTATAAAACGTTATTTTGGCAAAATAAACTTATTTATTAAACTATTATTATTATTTATATATTTTGGATTTTACATTTGTATTTTTATAATTATTTTTTTTCAATACAGACACACCAATATTATAGCACTCACTAAATTGAGGAAAATTAAGGAAAAATGGAAATTTTTACCCAAAATTGGTTTTTGGCAAAATCAATTTTTTTGTTTGGTGTAACTCTAAAACAAATTAGTAATTACTATAGATACATGAAACTTTTACTGAATATTGGAGTTTTCTACGTATACCACGACATTTTCAAAATATTTTTACTCATGTTGAACTATTTATAGGCGTGTGAGATTTTCTATTATTATTATTTTTTTTTTAAATTATTGTCGATAAGAAAATATTTGTTCTGTCAAAAAACAGAAAAATGTAATATAAGTTTTTGTTAATGAAAATCAAAATTTAAAAAAAGTTGAGCTTAAATCCACAATCTGCCTGTCAAAATACATAAAAAATCACGAAAATTTGCAATTATTGTGAGTTAGAAATTCAGTAACATTTTTCTTTTTAAATTTAAGATTTGAAAATTTAGTACAACATTCCTTATGAGTTGGCCTACCTTTATCAAAAAAAAATGTCTATCGGAAAGTCATATAACATTTTTACAAAATTAGATATTCACTCGATTTCTCCTGTAATGATTTTCTTATTTTGTTGTAATTCAAAAACGAATAACTATAGGTACTTGAATTGTACACCATGTGTTTGTTTTATCAGTTCATAGGGTATATTATTTTATTTTATACACACAAGGACATTTTTCTTTTTTCAATTCTCTACAGTGAATAAATACTTACATTTCTTTTACTGGCTGCTAAATGAATGATATATATTTGGGTGAGTAAGTCAAAAAAAAAAAAAAAAATGGCAAGTGATTTAATAAATAGCAAATATGGTTGTTTTTTATTATGTATTATTATTATAAGGCTTCAGCAACATTAAACATGAGCCATTGGAATTTATAGTTTTATGTATCACATTGTGTTCGCATAGGTATGTAATATTTTATATAATATTATAATATAATATAAATAATGTACATTGCAAAATTGCGATATCACATGATCACTTATTACGAGTTTTTACATGAACTATTATTGTATATTGGCGATTATTTAAAATCATTTAAAACAAATTAATTAGATAATAATACAAATATATTATACACTATTGTAAATGGTGCGCTGAGTACTTAACTCCTATGTGTACAATGCGTTGGTAACCTACGTATACGCGATAATAGTACCTAATATATTAGGTAGCCTCATAATACTACATAGAGTTACAACTTACAGCCACATTTAATACAAACAAAGTAAGCGTAACATTGCGATGTAACTACAAACTACAATCCTATTTTCGTTGTAAAATGAATAAATATATATGTATAATAAAATATTATGTATATATTTATAACTCGACGTTATAATAATTATTTATTATTATTTGACCCGGTCGGCACAGTTGTGCGATTTAACACTCGCGGACATAGATCTCGGGGATGAGTGTAGGTCAATTGTTTTCAGAGACGAGAATATCATCGTCGTGACGGTCACTGAGTCGCCACTGCCGGACTACCGCGGTCATCATTTTCCTGGGAGCAGCTCTGCTGGCCAATGTATTCGCCGTCGTTAGGACACGAATACGTGGACACGAGCTGGCGGAGTCCCAGTCCTCGATTCACCACGTGTGGTACCGTCTTTTCGACCATGCTGGCAACAAAAATAACGACAATATTATAACCGTACGGCATTTAAGTCATCATATAGGACGAGGAGTGTGTAGACGTTATCGAGAAGCACCGACATTATGCTTAATCGATGGACCCGTGGAAGTGGAGTGGTATGACAGACTCCTGCAGACAGGAGGCGCCAGGAGTTGTGTTCAGACTTTCAGAGTATACAATGCCTATGCAGAATCTTAATCGGCCAAAAAACTTTTAATTTGGAGCGTTTCCTCCCACACGACCCCTTTCACGCTAGGTACCCTATATATGTGTATCTACTAACAACTTAAGTGTACATGTTAAAACAAAAATAATAACCTCACTATTATTCGTTAGAAACAATATAATATGTGAAAAGCTCCAGACACTTTAAATTTGAAATATTTGGGCCCAATATTTTCAAAGTATAGGACTGTGTATTTAATGGACTATACTATAAAAGATGGATTTTAAATCAGAAAAAAACACAGCGTAAAATGCAATTAGAAATCCAATAAACAAGCTAATATAATTATTTACTTAAAATGCAAAATTTTTAAAAATATAAAATGTGCATGATTTAATGAAATTAATTGTGATTATTATTAATATACGCAATATGTTTTAAATATTTGTATATTTTCGTTTCACAGATACAATGTAAATATTTTTATGTAATAATATAAGTAATATTATGTATATATAAGTCTGCTTGTACTATAAGGATGGGTCACTTAGGTCCATATCACTAATGTTTATATTTTACAAAGACACATATTTTAGTAAAATACTATGTATACAGTGCCATCCTAACCACTAATTATGCCCCTATCGATATTTGACGAGTGTTATATAGTACTCAGTACTCTGTACATAACAAATATTTTTTTAACGGTTTTCAGATTTTGAATAGATATCCATTTTTGGAATCATTTAACGCCAGGCAGATTCATTCAAAACATAAAACACCTAGGATCATCCGGCATAATATGTATAAGTATCTAAATGCGTTTTGTTTTTCACAAACGTTGTTCGGAATCAAGTGGGTCTTACGGCACTCGGGATTGTGGGACGTATATATTAATATGAACATTTGTTTACAACACTAGTTGTACCCGGTACGTACCTGATGCAACCGGGAATTGGACACACCGTCAAGCACAGCGTGCAGCCCGTGCACGAATCAGGTTGGACGTGTACGGCATGTGATTTCGGGTCCATCGAAATCGCCTGGTAACCGGAATCGTTGCAAGCCATATAGCATTTGCCGCAGTTGATGCAAGAGTCCTTGAAATACGAAACGTTCACACGATAAGTCAAACAATAACGAAGCTCGCACAGTTGATGTCCGTCGTCGACAACAAATCGCGGAACGATAGAACACTCGAAAGCGGGGAAATAAACTGTGTACCTATATAGGTATAGGGACATGGAAATTCGTTCAACCCGAGAATAGATTTTCATCGTAGGCACAACCGACGGAGTACGTATATCAACCCGACAAGAAAAGTGTACAATACTTCTGTTTGCGAATCAATAAAGTTGCCCCTACCCCCCTGTGCAAATTACACCTGGCGAATCGTAAATTTTAAAGCTCAACATGTCAGTAATTTTTGGTGGGCTTATGGAAGTTCCTTTGCAGAATCAAGTTGTGCTGGGGCTGAAGTAATGTTAGCTCCCCATATAAATTAAGCTCGACAACTCACAATTCTCCCGGTGCAAATAGGACGAAATGGGGGGGGGGGGGTAAACTTCACCCGCATACTAACCTCGTTGACCAGAGCCACGACCTGCGCGCGACGGTCGAGCGATTTGTACGCGCCGACGGCTTTCAAAGCGCGGCCCACAACCAGTTCCACAGGCGTCGAAGCCGCAGCTGGAACCAGTCCGTCGTCGGTCTCTTTCGGTGCCGGAACCGTTCCCGCCAGTTCCGGCTTCCGATCGACTCCATTCGATTTGGTACCCTGGATTGTGTCGACCATGTCGGCTGCCGCAAAAGACGCCTGTTCACAGCGCCTGTTTCTCAAGTACGGTCCAAACATCGGTTTTCCGCCGCTTTTGTCGGCCACCGCCGCCGCTGTCGATACGACATCATAGTCGTCGGACAGGTCGATCGAGTCTTTGACCAACGCTGCCGTGGGGCGACGCCGTTCTCCACCGCCACCTCCGTTCATGTACAACAACGCCTTGAGCCCGGTGATGTAGTCCTGGACGACGGTGAAGTCCTGGTTCTGGACAGCGCTGCACACCTGTGTGAAACGGAATACAATTTTGTTATCTCCCGGGGATAAGATCGGACATCCAGGTTCTGTGCCAGAATAGTGAAAGTATACTTATGACGATATAGCGGAGTTATAATCGCGAAGATAAAATTAGAGCAACGTGAAATAGCTAAAGTACCTAATAATAGCCGAAATCCAAGGCAAGGAAAGAAGTCTAATTTGTGTGTAAAAATATTATGATAAAGGTAATGTTTTGTGAGTCATAATTATTTTCGATTTTTATGTTTTAATTGTGTCTTAAAATAATAAAATAAATAAACTATAATAAAGCTAATCTTAAAAAATTAATTTTTCTATTATATTTGCTATAATTCTATAAGCCTACAAGCTTTAACTATATTTGCCAACTGTTGCCATGAGTTGAATGCATTAACTGTTAAAATATGTACAGGTAGACCCGGTTCGTGGAGGTCTTCTGTCTTTGAATTATTCAAGCAATATGTAATTCTTCACATCGTTTTTAATTATTTCCAAAAGGTTTTACTTACAGATTATAATATTGTATATTCACCAAGATTATCGCTTTTGATAACAAAAAAAGAAGAAGTAAAATGACCCATAACGCAAATCTTAAATCTGACTCTCTAAATCCGGTCACAAATTTCACTCAGACCAACGCACCCAAGCGCAGTACGCCTCGCCTGTACCAACCTACTTAATTTTTATACGTCAATCGTATTTTACCCATAGGTACAGATGCGGTTTCATCACACATTATTCTACTTATTATAATTTATACCTATCTTAACTTCTATATTCCCAATGTAACTATTTTTTAATAAATTGTGCACACTTATTATCGGCAACGTATATTTTTCACCTATTTTGGATTTCACTGTGATAACTTTTGCTATTACAGTGTTAGCTGTTTTTTACTTAGCGATTATTGTTTAGCCATTGTAGTTTTCGCTATTTTGGATGGATACCGTCAAAACCACGACCATGGTATACCTGCACGACTTTGGCTCCACAGTACAGGTACTGGAGCGTGGCCGCGGCGCTGTCCACGCCACCCGTGGCCATTATTTGGACAGGTGGTCCTCCGTCACCGCCGGCTGTCTTGTCGGGCCCCAGAGCTCGGGACAACGCCGACACGGCCCTCAATCCCATCGGCCGGACGGCAGTGCCTGACATGCCACCGTACGTGGTTCTTGGCGTTTCCGCAGCGGTTCGGCCGACTCCCGGCCACGGTCGACCGCGGTTACCGGTCACGTCCAACGGGCCGAGGGCCGATACCGTGTTGACCGCGGTAACTCCGTCGGCCCCACCTAGTCGCACTGCCGCCCGAGCCACGGCCACCACGTCCGTAACGTTGGGCGTGATTTTCACGAACACGGGCACGGCCGTTGGCGTCTCACCGTCACTGGCCGGTCGCACCGCCACCCGCTTGACCCATCGCGAAATGTTCTCCACCAACACCGGATCCTGTGAGGGGCACACGAAGTAACCGATTCAATGCAGTTCGTTAATGTGCGATCAAAATTTAAATACAGTGGTCGCCGCCGCTTAAAGTATAATCATTTTGGTACCTTATATACTTAGTGAACAGAACAGATAACATAAGCAGACTGATAACACTGAATGAAAATTAAAGTGTGCACTGTTACGCAACACTACACCTCCTACTACTTACACTTTTCGATAACATTTAACAGTGTTTATAATAAGCGGCGGTCACTGTACTTCGTGTGGTTCTAAAATATATTATAGCATTAAAAATGTTAAAGAAACAAAATATAACATCTTGGTATAATATTCTATACTATCTGCTAAAATGGGATGGGCGTTTTAATTATGCATCAGTAACATTTTGCGCAAATTTATACATTTAAATAAGCTAGGTATAATATGTATTTAACAGCTCGCATAAAATAACTATTTATTTATCATTAGTACAATCTGTTCTTATTGTACATACATACATTACAGGAGAAAGTTTTTATAAGCTTTTGTCAAGTACATATTATTGTACTACCTGCTATAAACTGTATTACAAAATATTTATTAAATGTACAAAACAAATTATCACAAAGTACTTTGATAAGTAAAGAATTTAATGTCAAGGAATGTAAGTTTATTTAGAATTTATCTGTTTTAGTTAGATTATATAAACGTGTGCATTTAATTTTTAATTCCACGAGCATAACACTAGATATAATCCAAATTGTAATATGATATGTAGGTATATTTAAATATGTTTATTGTTTAAACAATTAAAAAAAAAGGTTGTATACACGACTACACAAGTTAAAATGTATGCCATGACTACAATTAAATATTAATACCTATAGATCATTTTAAAAGTTTAAAGTTATTTGAAAAGTATGTTTATCACCTACATTCATTTATAGTAATTAAATTTTATTTTCTTTATTTAAACGTGTGTTTTATTGTTGGGTATTAAATGCACCAACATTAATATTTCGTAATACAGTTGTCAGTTATACACCTATTAGATTGAACAGAACGACCTGATAAATTAAATAACGTTTATTCTAATCAATATTAATATGTTTTATACTAATTATGTACAGGCACTTACGCTTCAATTGCAGTAAATACCTATACAATGTTTTGTTTTTATTTTTTAATGCTAAAAATAAAAATTTTAAATGTAGTTAATTTTTTTGGAAAAATTCAAAATAGTATACATTTGTAAATTTAATGAACGTTTATTAAAGACAAGTAGCTTATTTTTCGTCATTTTTGAAGATATCAATATTTTTTTATAGTTAATTAATAATAATCAAAGCATAACAATATTTTTTCAAAAATATTTTTCATATATATTATGTAAATCTTAAATTATTTGTTATCCATTTGATTTTCATAAGGTTAAGGTTAACTACCGAAAATCAATTTTTAATTTGTCAGGTCTTTCTGTAACAGATTTTATACTACACCTATGTTTAAAGTTGGTTAATAAGAACTGATCCCCCAGCACTAGCTTGGCTTTTGAAAGGTGCTGCTATAATTTAAACAGTTTTAAATTGTAAAATGAATGGGTTATTAATTGCTGCAAATTATAACAAATAAATAAATAAATAATACCAGCCATTAAAAACATTGTAATAACGTCTGGTCATACATATTACTATAGAATGTTTCAATACCTGACCGCACGCCAGACCCATTCCGGATTCGCCCATGCCGTGAGGACAGCTCAGGTTCAGCTCCAACGCATCAGCACCTGCGTCGCACGCCAACCCGGCCAGTAGTGTCCAATCACTCTCGATGTAGGCACACATTATGCTGGCAATTAGGATCTGCAACAATGTCATTTGAGCGTCATTGACGTTTTCATAACGATGACCGGAAAAAAAATCTGTTAGAAAATCCACACGTGTCTGATGTGTAGCGGGATTTTAAAAAAAACGTGAATGCTCACCCCTATTTTTTTCCATTTAATACAATTAATTCATTCAATTTCTGACTTTTGGAACCTTTAAGTAATTATCTGTACTTAAAGGACAGTGTTATAAATAATTAAGATTTTTCATATAATCTGTGCGGCATATAAACTGCTTGTTTTCAAATGTGAACGGACTGTTTTTTACTGTAATTACTCAACAGATATTTTTTTTGGAAAATGTTGATTTACATCAACATGTAACTATTTAAAATCTACATCAAAATATATATTAGCAGTTTCTGAGTTATTGAAATTTAAACAAATGATATAAGTCCTCATAGATAGTTGTACAAAAATATAAAATATGTTTAATATTGAATTTAATTTTTATCATAGGTACTCTGTCAATTTTTCCAAATTATAAAATATTACTACTAGTATACTAATTATATTTATTACTACTAACTACTATAATTTTTAAATCAACACAGCTCCCAATTACCATATCTTCAAAACTTTTATACAAATCAAGGTATTCAAAAGAGTCATCTTCTTAACAATTTACAGAAAAAATGCTTGTCTCCCATATAAAGTTAAACAAGTTGGTATTACCAGAGGGGAACTCGTCAAATGGTATAAAAAGTCTAAGTTCCTACTTCAAAATGAATTTAAAAATTCTAAAAACTAGAATCATAATGAATTAATTATCAAACAAAAAAAGGCTGGGAATCAAGCTTGATGAATCACCATGTAGTGTGTACCTATATTGTACTCACGTGCTGCGGGAAGTCGCGCTTCAGTTCCCGAATGGAGCGCAGCCAGTATGCGGCTGTCTTTTCCGAAATCAGTTCAATGTTCAAAAAAGCATTTCTAGCCACGTCTGAGTCTCCGGCACCGATAGTACCCGGTCCTACGCCACTAGCAGCCGAACCAACTCCCACGCCGTGACCACCCAGTCCTACGATACGTGGTGACACGTTCGTTACCAAGTCCTTGTCCAGTCCGAACGTTTTGGTGACGGCGAACGCCCAACCAGCTTGGAACGCACGGCGGATCATCGCAGCGCTCGTCGTGGGCGGCGCTGAGGCCAGTCCGAACGGGTTCATGAATCGCAATCCACACATCCGGACAGACAAGTCCACGTCGTCGATTGCTGTTCGGAATCCTGGCAGCATTGGTCTCGAAACGGATGGTTGATGATTTTGGCTACGGTAACCGTATAATTCCTGCGCGGAAAAACAGGCAATAATACATTTTTCTATAAATAATATCCGTCACAAGTAGCTTAGACAAGACCAACGTAGTCATTGGTGAAATAAATATAGGTGATATGGTCGTGTGGTGACTTAAACCATCACTAGGTACAAGTATAGTAGTATAGTAGTATAATAGTATTGTTGCTAGTATGCAACAAGGAAGAATAGTAGGTTGCATTTTTGACAAAATGTTTAACTGCAGTTGTTTAAAACATAGGTATTTGAATCTAATCGCTGTAGACCCTAGGTAGTGATAAAAAAAAAAAAAATAATAATCAACTTCATTTTAACTGAGTTAAGCTAATATTTTTCTCCATGTTAAACTCTTTAAGAGTTCGACATATTGTTTGTTAGCTGACTATAGGTATTTTAATAACTTATGACTTATGTATATAACTATCTAAGTGCGTTGGCCTAAGTAACCATCCGATATATATATTATTGGCCGATCCACCGCTATAGTTCCCCAGTTTATTTTTTAGAAACTAATCTAGCAACGAACTTAAAAGTCACATGTGGTTTTACAGAATCTATTTGACGTTATCGGAGCAACATGTTTACCTGCAGATACTGGTGTATGTGATACGCCGCGGTTTTTCCGTCGTTGGCTGACTCTACCGTTGTCTGCGACGGATCAGCTGTCGATCCTGTTGCGCAAGAAGCGTCGCCACCACACCACACCGGTGGAGGAGCACGAGGTTCCTGTTTTTCGTTAGCCACTCTGTCGCCATCGTCCGTCCACCATTCACAGCGGCCGGTTTGAGCGTCAACGCACACTCTTCCGGTGCGTCCGTCTACCCTTGCGTATGGCGCCAGCGCCGCCGCCACTGAAGTGAGCAACAAAAAGACGGACAAGGTATGACAAGGTGCATCAACTAGGTAACTATTTTTAATATCTACAGTGTAGATATTCAGTAAGTGTTTTTTTCTCCTTGACTCCTTCTTATTCTCGCCATTATTTTCATCGTAATCGTCAAGCTTTCTTTTTCTATTTAAAAACTTATGCATATTTATTAAATAACGAACGTTGCGAAAATTCGTTAAAATTCGGGTTTGTCGTGGTGTGGTTTAAACGTAACTGTTTCATACGTCAGAACGAATATTATCGTTTGATATTATTATGACCATAATGTGTAGTACACAGAATAGTTCTCTGATAGCATATAAACCTATACTGTTAGTAGGTAAAGTTATCGAGAGATAAAAACATTATTACCAAATAACGAAAATAATACCCGACATTATTATATACATATTATTTGATTTACTACGTTTATTTTTCCCTGTCCTAAACCACTAATATTTGAATTGTAGATAATAATATTTATCCAAAGTATGCCGTGATTTATAATAATAATGTGCCGCGTTGAAAAAAAAGTTTGGTTACTGCTGATCTACACCGACCCCCACCTCTCGCGGTGACATATTTAGGATTTCGTTTTGGGTGGTGGTAGGGATACCTATGTATTATTATTCATGTCACAATGTCACCCCCCAAAATGTTTTTAAATTATAGTCACATTTTAACATCGAGAATACGAGATACAAACTCACCTTCTTCCGGCAACCGCGAACCGAACGCCGAGACGACGCAATCGGCGCGCAACACGAACAGGTCGTCGGCCGAGTGGTCTTCATCGTCAGTGGAGCCCTGCAATGGTTCCAGGTCATCTACGTCTGTTCGGCGGAACTGCACGGCTCGGATCCGATCGGCACCGCCACCAGGAACTTTGCGGAACAAGAACCGAACCGGCTGCGAGTGGGGCACCAGCTCGCAACGTTCGCGCATCGCTCCTTCCAGTTCTTCCGGGACGGCTCGCACGTCGGGTGTTCCGCGTCGGAAGACGACGCGGACGCGACGGGCGCCGCACCTGAGCGCAACCGTTGCGCAATCCATGGCCGTGTCACCGGCGCCCAGCACAAGTACGGTTTTACCACGGAAATCCGGTGGCGGGGGCATGGTGGCCGGCTTCGACGCGCCACAGCCGCCGTCGACGGTACTTCCGCCGCAACCGCTACCGCCACATCCTCCCCGGCCGTCGGGCAATCGCTTGGAGTACCCGGAAGCCTGGCGCAACAGCCATTTGGAAGTATACACACCCAAATGTTGGGTGGCCGCCGTCGTTCCGCTGACGTCGACGTCGCGGAAGAGATCGGCCGGAAGTTGAGGTTCCGGTAGGCCGACAGCCACGAACACGGCCTTTGCGCCATCCGGTCCGTCTAATATGTCCTTGAGGAAGTGAAAATAAAATATATACGTAAACAGCCGTTCGAAGAAAATTGATGACGTCTGATTACCGTTTTAGCCATATTATAGTAACTGATCATCCGGTACAAACTGATTTTTCCGTTATAAAAGATTTCCCATTTTTGGGGGACTCAAATACGAGGGATATAGATTATGCGAAACTGTTGTTATTTTCCGTTGTAAGGAGATTTCTGTCTTATATGGGTCCGTTATAGGAAGGTGTTCTACTGTACAAGTATAATGTATAGGTACTCACCTTTAGCGTAATATCACCGGGTCTACTGTCGCCGGCGGATGAAGAAAATAACCGACGACCGTACTCCAGGCGGACGCCACCTCGACCGTGCTCGACCATCTGCTCGATTTCCCAACGGACTGCCCGCCACGGTAACCGGTACTCTGGTATCTCGGAGGCACTATATACACAGAACACAATATGATAAGACACGACATTTGGTGATATTATTATGACAATAATAACAGCTGTCAGCTTTACTATATAATCACGGATGGTGTGTAAAGAAGTAAATATAAGTGAATTATTAAATCAAGTACCTTCACAAATTTGCGATTTTTTTTTTCGATTTAATATGGAATTTCTACAAGGTTCTTCATAATGGTTACATCTTACATCATGTTTTTAAGTTTTACTACAATTAATAAATATTAAAAATATGGAAGTAGTACATAGGTTCAAACTTTAACGAAATTCATCAAAATTAACAAGCCTGGGCTTAACTTTTTAACTTAACTTTACTAGAATTTACTTAATTTATAAGTTGAGTGATTGTTATTTATATAAACTTAACGTAATTTAGATTTGATTAAAAATAACTTGTTATTTTCTCAGAAAAGAATTGTTTTTATTAAAATATCGGTATTTTGTTTAAAGTAAAGACGTAATTTGACGTATTAGATGTGTTTTGTTAAGTGAACGTAACACTGACATTTGTTGTCTCCGTTTTACAAGTGTATAATATTAAGAACATTATCTGTATTTGTATGCTGGTTTTTTTACGATGGTTCAATTTTTTAGCAAGTTACGAGTATTTAATATAGCGTAAATTAAAAATGCTCATAACTCACTTAAAAATTGAACTATCGTAAAAACCTACATAAGAACACAGATAATGTTGTTAACATCAAGTTTCATTATGGGGCGGTTTACTCTTATGTTTAAACTAACGAAGATACACAATAATATGATCTACAGAGAGTATTATGTCCGTGTAGCGTCCTCTTAAGTACCTTCTATAATATAGCGGAGCGACTTCCCAATTTTTAAAAAAGAATTAATGCTAATCAACAAATAACAATACGATTTTTAAACGTTCTATTTTATAATATAATATTTATCACTATTTATTATAATATATTCATCCACTTTAATTTAAATTGTGTAGACTCTGGAGACAACAATTGTCAGTGTTACTTCCTTTCAATTGATTTTTCTTAAATAGCCAATAGATAGCAGCACATATTTCATTGTATCGTTAATTTTATATAATAAAAATATCATATATTTCTTAAAACTTTGTTAAAAACAGACACAAAGGAAATTCGAAACACGTCAATTTACGTCCTTACTCTACGGGACATATTAAGAAAAAACGTCAATTGACGTCTTAACTTTTTAAAAGGTCGATCAACGATTTATAAATATTTAAAAACTAAATATAATATAAAATTATTATTGATGAATGATGATACACATTGCGTAAACGTTTACTTCTTATTATTTTAAAGTGATCATTTTTAAAATATATTACTGGCTATGTATGTATTAATAAAATATAACTTAACTCGAGTTTACACGTTAGTTATAAGCTTCCATATAACTTTCAACTTTACTGACTTAAAAAAAAATTAGGATAAATCATTAAGTTTTCAAAGCTTAGAAATGAAACATATTTTCGTAAATATTTTGTCAATTATTTTTCCTTGACCAGCATGACGTAACGATGATATAACAGTGATAATGTGTGTAGTGCATAGGTACATAAGCTACGTTATGATTTTAAAGATTGTAAGAAATCGCGGAAAAGTGAATCGCATGGTTTTGGCGGAAAAGGGAAAGATATACTTTCGACAGAAAATCGTATACAGATTTTCCATATGAACTTACCTAAGGCCACCGGCGAACGCACCCGATTCGTAGACCGTTACGCACCGGTACCCAAGCCGGTTGAGGTACGTAGCGCACGTCAGGCCTGCCGGACCGGCGCCAACCACTGCTATGGGCGCCAATCTGCTTTGACCACGAGCCTTCAGCAGTCCATCTTCCCGCTCTTCGTCGTCATCGCCATCGCTGTCCGACGAAATGGCTGAAGGAGGCACTCCCATGTCCATGAACACCTAAACGTGTACGAAGTTATATGCATTGTAAATCCATAAGTTCTCACGACACCGTGTACAGCTAATATTATAATATATTCAAATTTGATGGTAAAAGTGTAACCAACATTTTATTACCTAAATATTTATGTATAATTACATACGTGGGTCAAGCCCTTCAATGCACCACGAGCTTACAATAGAAATATGACATAAATTACTATTTCCTTATGCTTAAATTCAATAAAATACGATAAAAAGGTCCGCACATTAATAAATGTACTTATAGCAGAAACTATTTAGTCAACCTCATAAGGAACAAATATGAAACATACTTGTGGAATACGACAAGGCAAGGCAGTTCTATGACCCTGGATTTAGCTATAATTTTATAGACATCGACAATAGCCAAACGCAAACAATGGTCGTATGAGTTTCGACAATTATAGTCGACTAGGGCAAAGGGCGTACCATCAACGACTAGCTTTTTTCGTTCTTTATATACTTAATGACTTGGATACAGGTTTTGAAGCACATAAAGAATATAGGAAAAGTATTTAAAATAAGGCTATAAAAGCTCTGAGAAGTCTCAAAACACTTATTAGAAAAAGAACTACATATTATAAGATTGTTAAAAAAACTGAATTATTAATATTAATTAATGTAGTTAAACATTTCCTTTTAATGGTTAATTTATAAATGTAAGAAACTGTTTGATATAATTGATAAAAGTTAATGAAATAAGACCACTTAATAAAAAGATTTCCATGTATCCATTAAGTTGCATTGAACCATTAGAATATTTCTTCTAAGTTTTCAAACAAAAATCTTCGACGACGATCAGACAAATACTGACAAATGTCCTATGAGTTTATATTTTGAACATCTATATTTACGTCAACTGATGAAGTTTGATTTAAATTTTATTTAAAAATTGAAAAACAAAAATACTATTAGTATATATTAAAAAATAATGATACACTCAATTCGGTTAAAGTTCTAAAACCTAAGTTCTAACCTAACCTAACCTAACCTAACCTTGAAAATAATAAAAAAACACAAGATTCTAAATTAGCAAAAAAAAAAAAATCAAAATCAAATCACGTAAATTTATTATATTATTATTATTATGATTAGACTTATAGCTGATAAAACTTCGTTTTGAAGTGGTAGAAAAAAAATCCTGTTCCATAAAAATCCTTACTTTAGATAATATGATAAATAGGTAAAAAGTAAAAACAAGCATTGAGCAGACTTCACAACTCCTGACCACGAGTGGCCCAAGCGAGTAACCGTGATATTTTTCCGAAGTTATTGAAACGGAGTTATCGAACTAGACTAACCTCAATGTAGTGTAAAGTTGAATATATTCATACTCAAAAAAAAAAATTTGGTAACGAGTTACCTTTACAGCTTAACATACCTATACATACGGAACACGACACGTTGTAGTGCAAATCAGGCATCGGTGACGGCTAACCTACGTTATGTTAACAGCCACGGTTACCTATTGAAGAAACGGAACTCGACACAACACGACACAATACGCGTCTTTATTATTGTTACTTCGGAAACTGGCCGAGAGACTATATCGAACCGTTCATTCGGTCAGCAGATCGAAGGGTGTAGTAAACACAATACTTACTTCCAGACAAAATTGCTGCAGTCCACCAATGTTGATAGGTCCGCCGTCCGAGCCGGCCAGATTGCAGGAACCGGCGCACAGCTCACTCGTCGGGCACACCATGCCGCAAGATAAGCCCACCGGGTTGTCCGACAGGATCGTTTTGGCGGCTCCATAATAGTTCTGTGGAATTTTAATTGCGTATTAAATGTTATTACAATAATAATTGGCCGCTGAAATCGATGATAACCATTTTGTGCACAATTTGCAGACGCCGGATGAGTTGAATAACTTGTATGTTTCTAACTTATTATCCCTAGGTAGGCAGTACCGAATATATAATAAAAGGAAAAAATTATTCTAGTCCAGATGAATTAGGGCGGTCGACTAGAGAGACATTTAAAAAATGAATAATTGGAGTTGTAATAAAAATATGCTTCCATCTTAATTGGTTAATGTAAAAAGCGTATAGAAATATTTTAATTTGATCGTCACTCCCTTTCCTACAGAATCTGTTTCAAATAAGCTGCCCTGCAAGTATTATAATATAGGTACTTTCGTCTATTTTATTTTAATGCCATGATTGATCACCGCCACACTGAATGTCATGTTAGAACTTATGGTATAGATCATTGATGTATGTGAATAAATATAAATATAAATCGATGTCACTATCAATGAGGTTCCTATATATTACTATGTCAAGGCACTAAAAACTGTATTCTAACAAATACGTAAATAAGTATGACGATATCAATATTACGGTGGTAAACTTCCCGGGCACGAACCTACATATCATATAAAGCGCTATAAATAGCATTATATTATGCTAGCTCTTTTCAGTTATCAGTTTTTGGCAAGGCTCTGCACCCGAATTATTTATTTGGGTTTCGCATTTTGGGTGCTGAATGTAATTTGGGTGTTCAAAACGCCGGGATGATAAAATATTTAAGCATGCGTTTGGGTTATAATAATCGTTATATTCGGAATTTGTATCAGTCGAGACGGTTGTTCAGAAAAACATAATTTTTATAGTTTTGTAGTAAGTATATATCATTTTTAATTTTTTTATTTTATAAATTAAGTATAAGCTGTATTGATATACAGTATTATACTAGTATTTGCAGGTCACAGTCAATATTTATAGTTTAGTTGTCAACACCAGACCAAAGCCGACCATATCAGTGAATCAGCAATATTTTGTATTTCTGTTAGCTGTATTTGGATTTATTCTATACTATAAAAAAATAATTAATTTTAATTTAATTAAGAATTTAATATTCGGTGATCTGAATATTGAATGATAGAATTGGATTTTATTTTCCAGTCATTTATAAATTAAAGTATTTACCTATAATTGATTGTTCATCCTGTCCTAATATTATTATTATTAAAAAAGCAACTAACTAAGCACATAAAGTACATACTAAATGATAAATCACATAAAGATTGTAAAGTAAAAAAATATTCGTGTTTTGGGTTAGCTTAACCAAAATGTTTTATTTCGGTTTTAGTTAAAATTAGATTTCTATTGGGTGTGAACTTCAGTTTGTGTCGTTTTAGTTGTATACATATATAACAAGTTCCCAACGTAACGACGATTTGCGGGGAAATTGATTTTTTTACATAATAATAAATAATAATAAAAATGATACACATAACCAAAGAATAGGTACCTATACCTTATTTTTCAGTATGCATTGCTATTAGCTATACGTATGAATTTCCACCTCGCATTCTCGCTCTATTCGAGTCCCCAATAATCAAGTCTATTATACATTTGTATTATGACTACGTATTTTGTACGTATTAAATAATATAAAAAATAAAAATGGAAATAGTCAAGCCATTTTATATACGTTCAAGTTGTTCCACTAAATGTACCACGATGTATTTGTCATACCTAACTCACAAGAATGGTCTATAGACGAATAATGTGGGGAATTTAAATGTCGACCAAAGTTAATCTTGTAATAATGAATAGGTGGTAAAACAGTAGATTTTCCTATTCCACGTTTCAAGTATAATATAGTCAGTTATTAAAACATCATGATTTTTAAATATTGTTTACGAGTTATATCGTATAAAATTTGTTTTAGGCATTTGTTTATATTGCTTATATTTGAATATATTTATACTGAAATTGTCAATTTAAAAAAAAATGTTTTCAGGATATTCATTTTGTCCTTCGTGCATGTGGAAAGTTTTTCAAATATAAAATATATTATTGTTCCTGAATAAAACAAATACATTTTTTAATATAAAAATAATGATTTTATATCTATACACTTGTAGTATATAGATGAGATATATCTATATACGTATATATCACATATTAATATATATATTATGATGCATTCTATGATTTTTATGTATTAAATATATTAATATCATAATTCGGCAATCAAATAATAATTAGTTATATGTTAGACTTCCTATCTTTTAATTCCACCACAAGCATAGCTTAGAGGAATTAGGTATCAACATTTACATTACCTAGTATATTAAGTATGCTTATGAAATATTGTAATACTTCTACAAAATGTATTGATGATTAAATAAATATAAATAAATACATACTTTTATTATTCTCAACTAACTAGTATTCCAAGTTATATCATATCTATACATAGTATTAATTTAATTGTAATCTAAATACTTTAACCAAAGCAATTATAACGACGTTCATTCTTTAACGGTAAAAAATATAAGTATAATTTGTATAAATATTTCTGTCTAAAATCTAAACGGAAATCTGTTATTAGTTCTAATTTTACTTCATATTTATATATTATTGATGATTTTTTATAGACTTATAGTACTTAAAGAATTAAATAATAATGAAATTAAGTACCTACTTACCTACCTACATAGTACAGGCACACTATTACTTTTATAATAGCATACCTAACAACTATATATAGGTATATTTAAAAATATTGATATACCAACCCAAATTATGTGTTTTACTTATCAGTTATCTTTGACGTTTACCGACGTCGTGTATTTAATAGGTAAATTAATTTATATTGGCGCTTTATAGTTATGTCACACTCACTTTGACGCAAATAATATGATATTTTGTACGTATCTTTGTTCATTGTCATGTAGGTAATCATCTAAAATTTTTATTTTACACTAACTATCCAAATTTATTCGTACCTTATCTTATTTGAAATTAACTAAACTGTTGCTAGTTGCTACACATAGTTTGATTCGTTAAAATCGAAAATTAAGAAATTTAAATACTTTTTATCGCATTATATGGAAACAGATTTGTGAATATCGTTTGTTTTTATTAATACAATAATACAGTATATTATTAGGTTGAACTTAGAATTTTCAAAAACATGGCATACCTACCCATAGATATATCATAGCAATTGCCAACTAATTGCTAATTATCATTATATATTATACAATACATTATGTAACCTAACAAAACATAGCACCCAAAAGAATAACATATTTTAACAATCTAAAATATACATTTCATTACGTAAGCTGTAGATATGACGAAATATGATGACAACGGACGAAGGCACCACTACTGCTTCTCGCTCACCTTTAATCACCGTATACCGATTGTAGAGCCATTATAATAATCTACTAATTTTAAACTTATATTGAGGATTGAGTTTTATATTTACCGGTCAATTTCCCATTATTGTTATTATAACTATTATTATTGTTATTATTATTGGCATTGTTATTATTATTACTTATTATTAAAACACCCAAGTAACTAAGCAAATAACCGCTTACTGCTTGAGTCAGCCTTTGTTTTTTTATTTTTATTTTATCTGGTCTGATAAACTAATGCAAAGAGAGATTTTTTATAATTTTATAGGATATCCATCAATTATTTTGAGGGAGTTGGTCCTACGAATTCCTATCGGTTCTCACGGTAACCGGACAAAACAACAGAAAAACAAACAAAAGGTAGAAAACTGTTTTTGTTTTAATATGTATAGTGCTTAATGGCTGGTACGTTTTTTCCTTTTGTCCTTATTTATTCTTATCTCGGTATATTAGTATGCATTATTATTTAGTATTCTGTCAGATCAGATTCTATTTCGTTTTTATTCTTATTATCGTCATTTCCCTATGATGTGCAGCATAATTCTGCATAGTGCATACTATTGTAGTCGATTTTATTACTACCTATCATTATTATTATGACGATATTGCTCGTTCCGAGTTTTTAACCCTGCACCTGCTTTTACCAGTCCACGTAAATATTAAAGATCGAATTACTTATCCGATTTTAGTAGGTAGTACATTTTTAATTTGTAGTATCCCTGATTATACGTCGTTAAAACATCAAATTTCAACAAATGTCAACAAAAAAAAATGTCCATAATACATTAATATGATTATTAACCTACCTACCTATCTACATTTTGTAATTTTTATACTGGTAAGAACAACACTATAATGAGGAACGTTGCATTTCATTTTCGGGAGAAAAAATAAATTGTTATCCACATTACCTGGTTAGCGATACTCGTGATAAACGATTTGACATCGATAGATGTTGGACACGACAGCTGGCACGGAGCGTGTGCACATTTGAGGCAACGGCGGGCCTCCCGAACAGCTGCCTTCTCACCGCCTCGTAGCGTGCTTGGCTTGACGTCCGTCCACCACTTGTTCCATAGGCCGCTGGCACACCCATCCACGACGCCCGCTGTGTCCTGCACATAGGTAAACACAAACGAATAAGCACTATAATTTATGTGAGCCGAGAGCCAGGCGGCTACAATAATAATTTAGTACCTACCCATCATGTTTACTAAATATTATATTATGTAGGTAGGTACAGTGTTATAACACTCCAGCAAAGCCGGGAACAAATTATTTGGTAAAAAGTGTAAAAACCGTCAATATAGATTGTCGATATGTTTTGGTCACTCTTTACACACAAATAACGTTGATATTGTATCGGGAAATAATATGGTGCGAAGGTATGCGATGTCTTTTTCGATTGAATTTCGATGTTCTATACCTAATAATATGATATATACTATACATTTACGGTATTTACCTAATTTTAACCTTCGAGACTTCTCTGCAGGCATTGGTCATACATTTTTACAAATCAGTTGAATTTGTAAATAAATGTTTTGAATTTAATTTAAACTACTCTGTAGTCTGCATGCACGTGTACACTGACATACAGTTATTTCTCAACACTAATTTGTTGTCTCCGTCTTACAAACATGTATGGGTATCTAAAACATTTGCTTTTAACAGTTTCGATTTTGTGTTTTCAGTTTCAATATTCGAGTGAAATGACCTACTATCAATCTTAAAGGTATGAACCGTATCTGTTTTTTATGGAATTTTTATTTTTATATGCCAGTTATATGATTATATAGGTATGTAAAATATCACAATATTTATTCAAAAATGCCCATACTTCGATTTAAAATTAATACACAACATGTTTGAAAAACAGAAAATATTTTAATTTTTAAACTTCCTAATACATCAATAAATTCACTTTTATACGAAAACTTACGATACAATATTGGACACAAATTTACCAAGTTCTAAGTTTGTGCGACAGAGACAACACGTCTGCTTGATATTGGGACATCCTTGATTCCTGTTAATACCCTAGTTTTTACAATATTAATTAGTTTCTACTTGAAATAATAATATTAAGGCCTATAGGTAGAATTATTGGTATCGTAGTATTTTCAATATCTTGTATATTTTATTTTAGTATTATTTTCTCATAATATTATACTATAATAATATTATTCATATAAATATATTATGAATTTAAATTGTTATAGCAACGCTTTCTACTACATCGCTATCGACTTGAAAGATTAAAATTACAAATAACATTACATAATAACCGACTAATAACAAATAATATCATATTATCATTCAATGCGTATAATCAAGTATTCACATCTCATATTTTTAGGCCGATGCAGTATTTCTTTGAAAATAATTAAATGTATTATTAGTCCGTCAATTCGACGATAACAAAAACGATATTGTAATTAAATGTTTAGAATTAAAACCTTAACCGTGGACATATTATTATACATATAATTATATACTATAAAATTATATTATCCTTTACTGTACATTTTTTTTTGTCGGAAAAATTGTCTAAATAAAGACAATGCATATCATACCACCTACGTTTTTACTGGTTTCGTTTCAAAAACAACCTTAACCGTTCAATAGCATTAAGTGCTATAATGTGACTTGTACACACCTCGGAATACGAAGAATTGCGTTTATAGTGATGACGGTCCATGACCGTAGCCGCGGAAGGCTTGACTATCGCCCGGGCCCGAGCCAGTCCGGATCCGGCGGCGGCCATCAATCCAACTCCTTTTCCTCCTGCTGCCGTACCACCATCGTTGGCCACAGTCGTTGTCCATTGGCAGTTGGCCAACGGTTTAGGGTTCAACCGGAGTAGCTCCTGTGAAAAAAAAACCAAAATGGATCATGGTAAAAAATAACAAACCTCCAAACAATAAAACATAGTATTTACTATACTATTATAAACCAATAATGATGTGTACGTTTATATAGGCATCGTAGCATTATAGAAGGTGATCAATTATCCGGTTGTGTATATGGTATACCTACCTACTTTCTTGCTTTCTAAAATTAGCTAGTAAACTCTCCGGGGTCAATATTATGTTTACCTGAAGGAAATATATTTTTATTTTTTACTACAAATTATATAGGTACCTGACTTTTTTCAAATTCACGAGTTTATATTATTATACACATTGAATTAATTAAATGTATATGACCTGTAGCCCCTTTCGATATCTACACGATACGTATAACAATTTAGAAAATTTGATACAATAAAAAAAATTTCGACTAAAGACATAACATATATGGTACCCCCTTCAAGTAGCTCCGAAATAGTCCAGGGATAGTTTATAATCACCGGCGTCCGTCCTCAAGCATTACAATGTATGTACTATAAAGTCCACGAAAAATGTTCATTTTGGGAGGTAAAATGTATGTGATTGTTTGCAGCATATCACATAATTATAATATCATATACTTTTAAACATATTTTATTATGTAATTGTCAAGCTATCATAGTCTATACTAGCGGCTTTTATAATAAAAAAAAAAAAAAATGTTATATAGGTACATAAGAACTGGTTATAATGCGGTTTCTCAGTGTCTGTTTTGGATTCGGGTTTACTATGACATTTTCATTATTTTTTATCCAAAGAGTAGATTTAAGTCTAAATAGTGCTTACACGGGAAACAATTTTCTTAATTCTTCGTTTATCACTTATGTCTAACGGCGTTTCTACAATATAAAATAATATAGTTAGTGATGCGCAACTCAAATGTATACGTATAGGTACACGGGCGCCGCACTATATAGGCGCCAAATTGGTTGATCGCCAGACAGGCGACAGCTGATGATCGCCATGAGCTTAATATCGGAACTATCAATTAGGGGTTTGCCGTGTCAAAACGGTCAGATTTTAGCTAGGAGTCAAAAATATACAAATTTTTTTTATCCTATGTATTCCCGACGTTTTTTAATGCGTCAATTTAGAATTTCCAGTAACTTTTAAGTAACTCGAGCTTTTTCATTAATCGCGATAATAATATAGTGTGCAAACCAAGTCTCTGTGCAGATATCGCGATCGTTCGGAAACACGTTGGCCACATTATTATAACTTTCATGGTATTCCTATACATAAACAGTATATGATCCGACATGATATATTTTTATAGGTACACTCGCAAGTACTTATACAAGTTATGACTTATAAAAGCTCGTGTCCTGCGTTCCGAATTCCTGCGGCAACAGGTAGGCCGTATCTCCGCTTCGCGTACACTGTGCATTATTATATTACCACATAAGACTTCCTCGAAACTCGCTTACCTCGATGTCAGGCGGATCGGCGCTGCACCGTCCTCCGTACGGCCCGTCGGGCTCGGTCCGTCCGTAACCGACCGTAGTGGTGGCCGCCATCGGTCCGTGACCTGCACTGGGACGGCCTGTGCGTGGACGAAAAACGGGCGACGCGGCGATGGCACCGCTTGAGCCTGACAACGGGACAGTAAGGGACGGCAGTGACGATTGTTTACGCGAAGATTATAACTATAGTATATAATATATTATTTCATTATATGGCCGTGCGTCGTGTGCGACAGGTCGTGTCCTCCGGCGGGAGACGTCCAGCGGCGGTCGGAAAAACCGATCGGAACCTCCCAACTCGTGTGTACCCTCGAGCGGGTGGGTGAAGGGCGGTCGTTTTTTTTTTTATCTCGTATTAAAAAATGTACCTAATATCGTATTGATGTGTGCGATTGCCGGAGAAAAATGTCGTCGGCGAACGGCTGGCGCGCGAGACTGTAAATAAATACGTATTTAATATATATTGTGATAATATTTTGTTCGCGACGTCCGCATACGTGGTTGATCAGTACTGTTGTACGTTATATTATTGTAATACCAGCTGCGGCCCGACGACTTTAATAATAATAATAATAATAATAATAATAAAAGTAGAGATAAGCGTATGCACGCGCAACAACACTACACATTAACACATCACGGGCACGCCGTTGTTGCGACACGCTTCGGCATCGGCGGGAGCACATGTCGGCCTTCCACTCGTTCGCGGAGCCCCACCCGGCACCCGCACACCGCGCCCGATCACCGCCGACCGCACTGCACACCCGATCGGCCGAGTCACCCGATCGCCTCCGCCGCCGCCGCGTTGTTTGTATTATTGTTTGTTCCGCGGCGGTGACCTCTTTACGTCGCCGTCCGCTGCGCAATAAACGGCACCGTCGCCGGCGCGTTTGTCCGCGATCGCCGCATTATGATTAATATATTATTATTATTATTATTATTATAATAAATTGTTGCCGTTCAATGTACGATCCACTCAATCAACTGGCGGATGGCCGTCGGTGTGTCGCGACTCGGCGGTTGACGCGTTAACAACGTAACGTAATAATAACATATTATTAAAAGGACGTTACGCGGACATTGATATTGTTGTCGTCCCCGTGTTACAAGTGCGCAATAATATATTATAGCGAATTGACAGTTCACGTTTAGCTCCGCTCGTTTAAAAATCAGAGTGAATTGACCTCTCGTTAAGTTTTCGACCAGGATTAATGCGTCCAGGTCACGTCCTCTGGGTTTTTATTATTGTATTTCAATTATAAAGCAAATTGAGGTCCACACACACACACACACACACACACACACGCTGCAGCGGTGGTGGTAAATTGGTAAATTGTGTCAGGACCGATTTTAACGCTGCCGCCACCGCTGCAGCGCGTGGGGACCTTTATGAGTATTTCAAGACGTATAAGCGATTTTACAATTTTTAAATAGATATACTCATAACTCGGTTTGAAATCAAAACGTGAGATGCCCTGGATAATAATCTCACCTTTGAATTTTGTAAGAGGTCACTGTATTCATTCTAATTTTTAAACGAACGGAGCCGAACGTGATCTCCGCTGAGCGTGAAATTTGTTATGTTGCGCACCTGTGAGACGGAGATGGCAAAAAGATGTTCTCGTAACGTTCTCTTAACAATTCCAAATAGGATCACACGCGTGGATTATAAACATCGAATAAAACAAACAGGCACAAAATAATAAAAAAAATTTAAGCGCGTCCTCCGTGTTTTGCAGGGATGGACGAATGTCCACGCGGAGAGTTATGGCTAACCATATACGATTTAGGTACAGCATAGCACTTATAAACAGATACATATTGAGGGCCCGAAACACGTTCGATTTTATTGCGTCGATAATATATTTGTCAATAAATAATATTAAAACGGTTTTGATATTTTCAATATATTACCATTGAGCATAAGTAGATGGTATCTATACTCAACGGTATTACCTACACACTGAATACGCCTCCTTCAATATATATAAACAATGCCCTTTCAATAAATGTTTACATATCGATACGATAAAATTGATCGTGTATCGACCATACCATTCATGCGGCCATAAAGTCCAATTAAAATGTGTACTTTACATTACATAATGCAATATAGATACTAAGATCTAAATTCACCCATCTCTATATAGACTTCACAAAAACTATTGACAGAAACTAGAGAGGATCATTATTATACAATATGTTTGCAGGGTAGTTATAAAACGATTAATTATTATTATTGGCGGATCCGATGTACTGGACGTATAATGTAGTTGCTAAAGACGAGTTATAGGAATAAAACAGATTAGCGATTTCTTAAACTTAGGTATTTACCTAAAAATTAGTTATCGGTTCACATTTCCAAATAGATTTATTGGCAGGGCAATCGAGATAATATTTTTTGCACACTTGTACACACATATTATACATTCATTGTACAATCAATATAAACTGTAATATAGGCGTATAAGCTATTTACAAGTAACTTAAAAGTTAAAACTGTGTACAATTTTTTATAAGCACTTTTCGTACCTGTAATATTATATCTATTTTTATTAGAATCATTTATTGATATTTTACAGAGCTATAAAACTGTAGGTTAGGTATAATATATTTAAATACCGAAAAAAATACAATATATTATTAATTATATATCAATGTCAATATTTGACAACCAAGAAAATAGCGATTAACTATTAACTTTATGACTCGATTTCTTTATCTATAGCTTATGGTACAGAAGAATTATATTTTTAGTATTATAAATATTTAATGTTATAAAGTTGAATAATCAAATAAATAAATAAAATACTGCAGTGTAGACATCTAGTGCTCATATTATAACGTTGCTGTTATTAAAATTCTCCGTCGACATGTCTCCTATTGTTCTATGTAACCACTTGTTATATAGATTAGTAACTAGGAAGGGTAGAATATAGTTCACTGACCGCTGTTATACGTAAGTTAAATTACGTAGTTAAATCAATAATATAATATAATTTTTAGGTGTAGTGCAGTGGTGGTTAAATGGATTTTGTCATGGCTGGGGGGAGAGGCTAATTTTTTAACATGCACTATTTACTCATTAAAAATATAATTTATATCATTATGAATATTGAAGATAAGATCATGGGAAGGGGGTACTCCCCCTCATCCCCTCGCCCGTTTGACCGCCACTGGCGTTGGTAATGTAAAAGTATAAAACCACAGAAATTAGATCTGCGTTTATGAAAGCTCGATTTCATATCTGTAAATCGTATAGGTTTAAAATATGTTTCCATTTCCAAGTATCATTTTCCTCGACTATATTATGGTCACCTCCGAGACCCATGCCGTGAACTCGTAACAAAGAGTTATATTAATATATTATACCGACATTGGTGACATTGAAGACAAAATAACCGGGAAGAGTACATTTTTACTATTAAAGTATCTTTATTTTTTACAATAATAAATAGTAAATATTATTGTTATAACATTATCACGATATTAAATATATTTTTATATTGCCATTTTTGGAAATTTAAAAATAATTAGGTATTATAAATTTGTAGGCATAACTTGCAAAATGTATAAACATTCAGTAGCTCCATTATGCTCTCGGAGCATAGATATATTATACACTTTTTAGTATGAAAATTAAATAATAGGATCAAATTTTTCACTATTATTTAATATGTGTCAATAATATTATCAATATTAAAACCAAATTTTACGTAAAATCCGTGCCTTGAAAATTGGATTGGATTTAAATCAAGACCTTTTAAATTTCAGTATTTTTAGTATTCTATACATTTTTATAAGTTCAATATTTTTATTTTTATTTAATTTAATAAATTACATATGTAAAAATACAATTACAATTATATTTACATATGTATTTAATAATTGCATGCTCACAAAAATAAGTTGTAAAAGTTGTTATTTTTATATATTATTACATATTTACATAAATACCCGTAAGTATTTTCTACACTCTTAATTCTCTCGTGTCTTTTATACATCTAATTAATAATTATTGTAATTACATATGATTTTTTTGTTTTTAATTTTTACATAAATGCTATACTTGAATAACCGATGTTTTCTGTACGTTCTATATTGAGTATATTTCCGATACTTCGCAATCACAAATAGGTATAATATTATTTTAAAAATGGTTTAAACACTTTAAACTAATAATTTTAATAAACCTCTAGGAAACTGTCTATACAAATTCTGAAATTCTTACAATGTTATGCGTAGGTATTTGTCATCACTGCATTTATTATTGCTCAATAGGTATGCACCATAACATTTTCAAAATATTTAGATTAATTTTAAGTTATTTATACCATGAATCTATTCTCACCACTCTACGACGCCTATACGTCGGTATTGACTAATAAGTTATACTTATAAATTTATAAGGTAATGAGTAATGACTGCTGGTTTTATTTATGTGAAATAATGCTATTTGTATTGCAATTTGTTTTGCAAAAAATGTTTTCAATTTACCTACAAACCTTACTAATGAGAAAAATTACTATAATATGTAGCGGTATATAATAAAAATCTTTAGAAATATGAGCTCTACTCAAAATTATTGTTCGTCACAAAAAGTGGTTTATAATATTGAATTAACACATCTAGAACAGTGGCCCACTTACTGACGATAAGGAACACTCGACAATCTGCAACTTTTACTATAATATAACAAAGCGAGTTCAACGATTTGTTTGATTTTAAATGTATTACCTATGCCAGTATACTGTATACGTTTAGTGATTACAGCTGTTGAATACGTATTAGTCCATTTATGTAAACGATTACATTTTAAAATACCTAGATAAGAAAACTAAAATAGCAAAATGTATACCAACACTTTAATCTGAAAATGTAAATGACCTATGTATAGTCCTTGAAGCATGCAATCAATGTAATTAATGCATGTATTCATATGATTATACGTATTTACGCAAGAGCTTAATAATTGATTCCTAAACCAGGTTCAGACATTAACAATCATATTCGATAATAATAAATAACAATTAACAGCTGCGATTTATTTTTTATAATTAAATGCAAATAATTATTATATGCAAGTAATTTCTAAGTAGGCACTTGGAACACTTGTGGCACAGCAGTTTGTAGATGTTTTTTGTTTGAACTGCTATGTGAGGGGCAAGACAACGTAAACATTAAGTCCCCTACTTAGTCGCTTAGAGAGCTCAGTGAATATTACTAGAGTAGCCGACGTTCTTAAAATGTGGTCTGGCCATTTCTCAAAAAACGTCGAGACCCCAATATCTTAATTATTTAATGTAGAGGTAGGTAGTATGCATTTAAGTACTCATAACCATGACTTAAATATACTCATGTCCATAATAAACTTATGAAGTAAATAAAATGTGGCCTACAGTCCAACATTTTTTTTTCAAAAAAGAGGTCGGGCGACGTTAACATGGACTTCGGGCCCTACTGAATATTACTATTACTCGAATGAGTTCTTTGTGTTTCATAATATATAGTTTTATTATATAGAATCGATCGGTGATTCAATTTACAGAACACTTTGTTGGATAAGTTATTTTAAATCATACAACAATAATATGTAAGCAAATCTGTTGTCGAAACGAACCTAAAATAACTCACAAGTAACATAT